AACACAAAGATAGTGCATACTTGTTTTGGCTAGTGCAAAGCTCAATGGGACGGAGTACAAATGGGGGCTGTTTTTACCAAAAGAACTATTGATTGAAAACAATAAAGATCATTGCCAGAAATGGACACTACAAGGCTTTACTATGAACTCTAATGCACAGTCTGTCTTTCTTTTTGTAAAACATCTTTAAATATTCTTTTGTTTCAACTACTGCGTTCATTTGTTAATATGCAGCATTTCCAGACAACGTTGACAAAATGTCATTCAATTTAAATCGATGATCCAAGAATGTATATTAAACATGATTTTTACTATCAATAGGATTTAAAATGAATATGAATAACTTTTGAGTTTTTTATGAATTTTTTTTTATGTCACAAAATGCACATTTTAAAAGCAAAAATGTATCTGTAAGGGTCACTACTTCATCAAACATAGTGTCATTTCAATGGCGTTAAGTTTTATAAGCACAAAAAATATATACAACTAAATATAACAATATTGCAGCTAAAAATGCATGTAGATGAAAAATGAAATTTATAAACAATAGTGAGATTCAAAAGGTGACCTCAATTAAAAACATAAATCAAAATATTTACATACTTAAATTATAATAATATTGCCATGCAATGTTACCCAGCATGCACTGGTAAGTGAGCAACTGGCAATGCAAACTGTTGTCTACGTCTGAATACACAGAATCACTTGAGAGAATATTTTATTTATGGCTTCAAGCATATAAAGATGATATACCGTACACGCATCTTTACATGCTTCCCATAATGGTGGTAAACAAAGTGACCTCCATCAACGAAATTTCTCAAAAGCATTCAATCATAATCATTATATACAAGATTGCTGACATAATATAATGCATGAAATGTGTATCAATATGCACAGAAAACAAACAAACAAACATGGTGTCTGTAGCCTGACTTAGTGCTGTAAAAAGCAGGGTCAAAGTGACTTTCAGAATTTAGTAAATGCATTGAGATATCATGAATTATTCTAGTGGTGATAATTCAGTGGTCCATGGTTGTTTTTGATTGTAGCAATAGTTTGAGCATCTTCACACTGGGTGAATGAATTCATCACAAATCATACCACATACGGTAACTTGGACAGTAGGCACTGCATACCCACACATCACCTGCTTGTCAAAAACATATCTTGCATTATTAACATTTTGTGTTATCCCACAATGAATCATCCCAATTCTGTCGCAGTGTTCTTTCCAGGCTGCATGTCCTGGGGTGTTCCCAGAACCTTTCTGTCATGACACGCAGCAGCTCTTACGACAGTTCATTGGGGGAGAGTCGTATGGATTTAAAGGTATAGTCCTTGATCGCTTAGATTTACTGTCTCTGTGTGGTAAGTATCTATGTTGATGATGTCCATTTCCGAAAGATTTAAGTCGTGACCGCAATTGTGTTGGTAAGGGCAACTTGTCAACACTGTAGATACATGTACATTTTACAATTGCCTGGCAGCACAGATCCTGTAGGCTCAACACTGAAATAAATGAAAGAGAAAATTATTACATTTGCAGATATTCATGATCAGCAGAATTAAGTTGAGTTGAGTTGAAACATTAATAGAAGGCAGGAATTGGTATGTCAAAAAACAAGCCGTTCTCTGATTGGCTTGAATGTAAGCCAATCTTGTAAGTCTCATCAATTCGACTTAAAATAAGTGTTATTCACTCATCAAAATTTGGTAAACAATCTCCCATGTTAATTTTGTGCCACAGAGTCAGAATTCAAAGGGACAACTGCTAAAGCCTTTCAGAAATTATGCAGGCTCTTAATTCTGTAAAATTTTACATTATATCGCTATTATTACCATGAGAGTATTGTTTGTTTCAAAATAGTTTACTGCAACAAGATGGCTGGCTTCTGTTAAAATTTAGCACATCCAATACACATTTAGTGACTTTACTGGTATACCATCAAATACTCTGTGTCAGTCTTCAATTTGGATTCATTGCAATTTTAATTAATTAATTAATTTTAACACAGCGCCTGCTGACACATTTCTGTTATCTGTGAAGAATTTTAGCAGGAAATGTGTTAATGATACATTTGGAGCCAGGAATAGTGCTCACAGATTTTTCTGGGATATTGCAATTCATGACGAATGGTGACAATGGCCATGACAGAATTAATGGATGAGAGAACATCTGCGTCTTGATATTTTATTATGCGCGATCATTTGAATAATAAAGACTTTTTATTCATCATCAGAATTCATCACAGAACTTTACTTTTTTTAACTGCCCCCTGACTAATACCAAAAACATTTTTTCTCATTAAAAAGATGACAATAAAAACCTGTATAAATTAAATCTAGGAATCGTATATAAGTTTTATTATGTTTTATAGGTGAGGAAGCTACGAGTATTTGTAGTCCAATCGACAGATACTGTGGAGTATGCTGTATATATATATGTATACAGCATAATGACGAGTTTAATATTCATGATGTAGTAAGACAGGATAGAATTCTATTGATTTTTAAAAGCAATACACCTGCATACTAGATGTTAGTAACTGACACATAGAAATGGGACTTCTAGACATGTGGTGCATGTAGCAATAAATGCAATTTCGTAAGTAGACCATGAAATGAAATCCCCCCCAAGGACTATCTTTCTACATCAATATAGAAAAACTTGAAAGACGATATTAAACAACGTACTACTGACACAAACAATAATTATTACTGTAAACATAAAGTTTAATACCTATACATGTACTATTGGGTATAATAGATAGATAAATTTACAAAACATGCGACAAAGTAAAATAAAATATGGGTGAAAAGAGTATATGGTTTTGAATCTCTCTTGAAATTGATCTATACGTTTTTGACAAGAAACGATCCCTGGGTTTAATATTACATCCTATTACAATAGCATAGAATCCGGCTTAACACTAAAATCGAATAATCCAGTCCAGGAAGATTAGTATTCTTTACACAATTATGAATAATATATAAACTTGTCGCTTCTTCGTACCCGCTAAAGAATTTCTTCCCACGCACATTCTTTCTCAGGTGTCAAGTGTGTGATTTAAACGATATTGAACACCTTCAATTCCGTACAGAGATTCAGACACGGTAAACGGCTCACTGAAACTCCAGACATGAGTCATTACCTACTGTATGTGTTAACACTTGTAGCATAAAGTAGCAGGTCAGTTTACTTATTTGCCATGGCTGAATTGTCTGCATGGTACAGGTGTGAGGAAAGTTTCTTAATTTGACATTGCCAGCATGTACACTCAAGACAGGTGAGTTATGAGAGCGTCAACAGTGTTGACAGGACAGTCTGGCTGCATTTATTAACACTTTCATTTTTCTCCGCAGTCAGCATCATTAATTATCAGCAAACCAAACTCTTACCATACTTTTTTCCCATTAGACGTACATACACGAATGCAGAACTTATTTTAAATATCAGCTAAGTGTGTTTAATCTAAAGTCAAATCACAGAGTGACGCCCCACTAATGTCTCTATGGAAACATAAATACAGCGAGTGGGTTCGAACCAACATTTAGATACTGATTCAATGGATGGGTTCATTTTTAATAACGGACAAAATAAATAATATTTTCTAGTTCATTTACACTTGATTTATATCTAGATTTGATGTTTTACTTTTCTGCTCACCTCAATCTCTTACTACAGCAGGATAAAATAAACATGCCATTTGAGAGATATATAACATGTTTAATTGCTGTATTCTGAATGCATAGTGTTTACAGATCAAGCCGACAGTGTTAAGTATGCATAGTGTCTACGAATCAAGCCAAAACTGTTATGAATACATAAAATAAACATGCCATTTGAGAGATATATAACATGTTTAATTGCTGTATTCTGAATGCATAGTGTTTACAGATCAAGCCGACAGTGTTAAGTATGCATAGTGTCTACGAATCAAGCCAAAACTGTTATGAATACATAAAATAAACATGCCATTTGAGAGATATATAACATGTTTAATTGCTGTATTCTGAATGCATAGTGTTTACAGATCAAGCCGACAGTGTTAAGTATGCATAGTGTCTACGAATCAAGCCAAAACTGTTATGAATACATAAAATAAACATGCCATTTGAGAGATATATAACATGTTTAATTGCTGTATTCTGAATGCATAGTGTTTACAGATCAAGCCGACAGTGTTAAGTATGCATAGTGTTTACAGATCAAGCCGACAGTGTTAAGTATGCATAGTGTCTACGAATCAAGCCAAAACTGTTATGAATACATAAAATAAACATGCCATTTGAGAGATATATAACATGTTTAATTGCTGTATTCTGAATGCATAGTGTTTACAGATCAAGCCGACAGTGTTAAGTATGCATAGTGTTTACAGATCAAGCCGACAGTGTTAAGTATGCATAGTGTCTACGAATCAAGCCAAAACTGTTATGAATACATAAAATAAACATGCCATTTGAGAGATATATAACATGTTTAATTGCTGTATTCTGAATGCATAGTGTTTACAGATCAAGCCGACAGTGTTAAGTATGCATAGTGTCTACGAATCAAGCCAAAACTGTTATGAATACATAAAATAAACATGCCATTTGAGAGATATATAACATGTTTAATTGCTGTATTCTGAATGCATAGTGTTTACAGATCAAGCCGACAGTGTTAAGTATGCATAGTATCTACGAATCAAGCCAAAACTGTTATGAATACATATCAGGTATACAGAAATGCATATGCAGTTTATTTCACTTCATGAAATTGAATATAGTTTTTGTAAATAGCTCATTAAATGGATATCTACTGGGTGTATGTGCAGTGCATTGTGGGTAAGAAAGTCTAGTTTTGCATCTAATGAGCACGTTTCTGAGTATAATGTGCAATGCATTATGAGAGGGAACCTCTCATTGAACAAAATCAAAAATATTATCACACTTAAATCTCACTAAAATTAAATGTAAATTTTTTAAAAATTTGTAACAATGCATGAATTAACATTCATATCATTACTGTTACTTAGCACAATTTCATCAGTGAAAATCAATGCAAAAACATAGTTAAAATTTTTACAAATTCAAAAACATTCTATTGTTTTGCAAACAACTGTCCAGTTACCCTAATTTTTGGTTTAATTTTTTGTATCCTAAAGGTTTGTTGCACAAACAGATTTTACCATGAGAAACAGATTTAAATTGATGAACATTTTGGCAGAAAACACATAAATCACACTGACTACACAAGCTCATTTTGCCAGATCAGTGAGCAATAAAATGAACCCAAAATTGAAACTATAAAAACATATCCTGTTCAATTCAATCCAAACTTCATGCCAAAACATGTATTTTAGCATAGTTCAAACTACGATAATATTTTTCATCTGAATCCTATACCATGTTCACACATGTATCACAGAGCTGGCTTGACTAACTTGGTAAACAAACAATGGTTTTAATTGGTTCTGTGTTAAAACATGTATAAAGACTAAACTGAGCCAGTGTTGTTATCGCCATGTTTCTTTAAAATACTTGCATGCTTTTAAGGTGGCATTATTGTTCGCGCGTGCTTAAACTTTTTCTGTAAGAATGGGATGCCAGTTTAGACTTGCTATTTTAGGACGTCTTAAACTATAAATCTGGTCTCCAAACCGGAAGCGAGAATCGAATCATCCTCACCTTTACTTGGACGCCATAGTCTCTCCATCCCATTTCTTTTCAGCACCTTTCTTGATAACTCTGTTAATGATTCCACAATGTTGAAATCACAGAGTGGACTGACTTCAAAAAAATCCATCTCATTCTTCATTGCATATGACTCCGCTAAATCAGTACTGACTTGTCGTTTAAACGCCAAGTGAAGACGGTTACCAACAAGAATTTTCGGAACACCTGGTGCATGCTGTAACGTACAAATTAAGCTGTCAACAATCATCCAAATTTATTTAAATCAAATTACGTGTACTGTCAATCAAAAATCATCAAAATACAATATATTTCAAGAAACTGAGAATGCATAGTCCCTGTTGGTTATTTCTTTCTTTTCTATGAGTACCGAGAATAATAGCAGATACATTCAAGAATGCGTTTTGACAGCAAGAAACGTAACGATTACCATTCAGCCGTATTGGGTTTGCATCACATAATAAGATTGGTGGATAAACATTTTGAATTATAGATGTAGGTGGTGCACTTCACTTATATACTCAAGCACTAAAAAAAGCATGCAGATTTTATGATGACAAGCATCATAATGAAATATAAACATGATTAAAAATTATGTGTTTTTTTTCATTCAGTAATCATTGTCTTCTTTAGATCTACATATACTTTATTTTACAATTATATCCTTTTACAATCTAAGAAATATTCAACAATACAATGTAGGTAAATTGATGATGTATTGTTTTGCTGCATTGTTTTGCTTCTTCTGATACTGTAATCAAGTTGACAAAACTCACCTCCTCAACTTCCTTTATCCACCTATCAATGCCATCAAATGACCATTTATTTGTAATGTCATAGACTAGTAAAATTCCCTGGGCACCACGTGAGTAAGAACGAAATATCGTACAAAACCGCCCCTGTCCGGAAGCATCCCTGTAAAAAAACATAAAATAGCATGTTATTACCAGTAATAATAATTGAGAACTGCGTAGGAAACTGGTAGTGCTATTTCTATTAAAACCGGCAGTCACAATTTACTCTGCTCACACAATACATTTCATTTTAAAAATACGCTCTCGATCAAAAGAAATGCGAAAATATAATTAATCATTTCTAATGTTGAAAACAGTTGGAAACATGTTTACATTTTCATAAGCTACATTAAATGATTTGAATACAGAGGCAATGGAAACCTTTGTGTGCTTTGAACACCAATTAATTATTCATACAGTTCAATTTGATAGCAAAGGAACTTCATGGTCAACTGGAGACCAAACATAATTACAAGCTCAGAATACCGTGACATTCATAAATCATTTTGTAGGGCAGAGTACACCAGCTGATTGATGAACAATAGGTAACTGCATATAGCATTGACAACCAATTAACATATGGTAATCAGGTACATACTACAATAATGTTTTTCCACATCTTAACTATTTGACAGGCAGGTTTTTTAACCATGAAAAATTGGTGCGTGAATGATAATATTGAGACTGAGTATTGTTCATGAAATTTTCAAATTTTGATATAAAGTAAAATGAGTAAATGTTGAACAGGACTATTTAGTTGATAAATGATTTAATGATGTCTTATGCATGATACATTGTAGGGCGATTTTCAAATTAATTGTGTTCATGATAATAATCAATGAATGAATTTTAAATCAAGGTTGACTAATAGTTGTTTATATTGATATTATAATTCCTCCATGAAAAAGGCAATGGTGACCAGCCGACACTGACATGGATTACAAGACGCCGGTGACCAGCCGACACTGACATGGATTACAAGACGCCGGTGACCAGCCGACACTGACATGGATTACAAGACGCCGGTGACCAGCCGACACTAACATGGATTACAAGACGCCGGTGACCAGCCGACACTGACATGGATTACAAGACGCCGGTGACCAGCCGACACTGAAATGGATTACAAGACGCCGGTGACCAGCCGACACTAACATGGATTACAAGACGCCGGTGACCAGCCGACACTGACATGGATTACAAGACGCCGGTGACCAGCCGACACTAACATGGATTACAAGACGCCGGTGACCAGCCAACACTGACATGGATTACAAGACGCCGATGACCAGCCAACACTGACAAGGATTACAAGACAACGGTGACCAGCCAACACTGACATGGATTACAAGACGCCGGTGACCAGCCGACACTGAAATGGATTACAAGACGCCGGTGACCAGCCGACACTAACATGGATTACAAGACGCCGGTGACCAGCCAACACTGACATGGATTACAAGACGCCGGTGACCAGCCAACACTGACATGGATTACAAGACGCCGGTGACCAGCCGACACTAACATGGATTACAAGACGCCGGTGACCAGCCAACACTGACATGGATTACAAGACGCCGATGACCAGCCAACACTGACAAGGATTACAAGACAACGGTGACCAGCCAACACTGACATGGATTACAAGACGCCGATGACCAGCCGACACTGACATGGATTACAAGACGACGATGACCAGCCAATACTGACAAGGATTACAACAATGAATCCATGTTTGAGATAGAATTTATAAATGTACATTGTAACATCAGGAGGTACAAATGATAATAATGTATTGTCTGCATGATTGATGACAATGGTATTATATTGACAGTCATTGTTATCTATGCAGCCATAATGACTATTGTTATCTATCTTGAAATCATGCTACATATGAGACACAGTATGGAGCATGCTTCATACATGACCTTATTTCAATGGAACATTTGATGATCATAGTTTATTTTAATAATCTCATCTCAACATGTATATGCTGCTCTAATATGAAGATGAGACAAGTTGAGGTGTGTGTGTAGAGGGAGGTAGTGTCTTTGTAAGCCAGCATGACATTTTAGCGACAATAACATAAAATGTAGCTAAGCCAAAAAATGTCAACATTTTTAATAGACAATTAACAATCACTGTGACATGCCACACTTGATATGGGTTCCATTCGAAGTATACATCATGTGTAAATTAAATTGTTCATATACCGGTACATGCAATTTAAACTACTGTGGAACTTTAAGCTTATGTAAATTCATGCAGGTAGCCATTTTTTTTTAATTTGCTAAAATGTAGCAATATTTCATTTCAAACCTATATAGTACACCAAATTGACTTATAATGTCTTGCCTTATTTTTTCTTTCAACTGAAATGTATACATGTCATTTAAAAATCAATATACACCCATATGTAATCTGTCTAATGATAGTATGTACACTGTTTCTACTTATAGATTGGCCAGACTATGAAATTGTAGGTCTGCATACTCTAGTTTACTAAGATTTACCGGGGGTTTCCCTCCTTGCGAATATGCATCTGAAGGTTCATTTGATACATTTGATTTACATAGCTTTAATCAATTAACACACACACAGAGACAGACAGACAGACAGATTTACGTATTATACTATAAATGTACAATGCACACCTGAATACTGAGTACAGGATCCTGTGTCATAATAAATATGATATGGTGTAACAATGTTGAGGATGGTCAATTATTAATTATTAAACCTAAAATTACAGGACAATGGTTACAATGTAAAGTATATATGGTGCAATCTTCACCGACTCAGATATAAAATAGCAGGTATATCCAAAGCAGGGCAGTTATTATTATTTAATGAAAAGTAGTCACAAAAATACAATAAACTCACTGGGTTTTATTTACAATTCTTTTATTTTATGGTTGATGCCAGGATAGTTGCCATAATAGGAAGATGGTCACACAGCCCTGTCCTGTAGTCCCAAACTGGAATATAGTCAGGTTGGCAAAATGCACTATGTGTCAGCAATGGCCTTTGCAAATTGCACATAAAGATCAGAAAAATCTTAGAAAGAACTGCTGTGTGCTAAGGGTATTGGAGGCATGAAGTACAAATAAGAAATACATGTACTGTATTTACTATAATACATTTATGCATATTATTGAGGTCACATGACTATATATAGTAATCTAATACATGATGCCTTATAGCACTGGGTGCATGTCTGCAGTAGTGATTAGTATATTACAGTTATGCATATTAATCAGGTCACATGACCATATATAGTTGTATCTCTTGTCTGATGCCGTCAATATAGTACCGAATGCATATCCCTGACTGCAACATACAATGCCCGAGATATTACAGTTATGCATATTAATTAGGTCACATGACCATATATGGTCATCTGATACCTTGGTCATTTAGATATTACACTTATGCATATTAATGAGGTCACATGAACCCATTTATACAAAGTTGGTAATTAATATGCATGGATTTCAATCCTGAAGTAATCAGATCTGTGGATTATCCAAAAGCACCTGTGTTCCAAATTTCATTGAAAATTTGATATCTGTGGAAGACCTATAAATTGGTTAACTTATGCAAATTAGGAATTAGTAGCACAAAATTTAAGCCTCAACTAAACATGTATATGGCGTATCCCAGAGCATCTACACCAAGTTTCCTTGTAAAACCAATAAGTGATTGCAATAATGGTGGAAAAGATAAAGAATGGCTAATTAATATGCAAATTAGGTAATTAATAGGCATAGATTGCAAACAGAAACTAATCAAGTCTGCACACTATCTCAGGCTATCTATGTATCAAGTTTCCTCGTAATCTGTGAGGTAGTTCTTAAGAGTAAAACAAGAAGGCTTAAAATTTAAATTTATTATTATTACACTGCATAAATATATCTGGTCTCTGCGTGTTCCAAATTTAAGGCAATTTGCAATATTACTGATGTCATATGTAAATGAGTTTACATTCCTCAAGTAGCATGCCAATTTCATGCAATATGATTTACAAATGTTGCAAGGTACACATCAAACACACGTTGCTATGAGTGGGAGCTTGAAATACAATGGTTTTTGGTAAATATTGTCCTAAATATAGCAGACTTGTTTTCTATTTCCCATGAAGTTATAAATAGGCTAACTAACATCTCAAATGTAGGACAGTTTAGGGTACACTTAGTACAGAGCCACTAATACAAAAATGGAATTATTTGAGTAATAAATACCAATTATTACTAACCAGTACTTCTTTTTTTAGCATTTCTTTCATTAGTATAAGCTATAAAAAAGCGAGTAATCTTCAAAAAAATAAAATGCTAGGATAGCATGGCTATAAGTAATCATTAAAATGAAACTTTCCCTGACTTATTAAAAACTGTAATAAATCTCTCCAGAATAAATATCTCAGGTGACAAGTCACATGAAACACTGCAGCTAATTAAGCAGAATTATCATTCGGTTTTCCTTTGAAATTTCAATTACTAAGATTATATATTTACAGCAATTATACCAGCAGTTAATTTTATAATTATTACATGTACATTTAGGCTGATATTCTAGTCATGAAACCTAATAAACTGACAAAACACTGACTTCTGTTGGAAACAACTGACTGCCAATCACTGCTGTACTTTAACCTTGGATATGAATTCCAAGGTTGTAATATATTAAAGACCAATCACAGTGCTGCTTTTACTACTAATGTAGGCTATTATGTATTCATTGTGTTGATTAGTCAATATTTTTTAAAGTAGTTTGTAGTTGATAGACCAGAAGCAGTATTGAGAAACATTTAAGCTACTGTATATACAACTACCAGTGATTATAAACCTTTAAAAAGTGCAGTTTTGTACGATCGCGGATTTATAAGATTTATAAGATTTGTAAGTGGTATGATATGTGAGGAAGATCTCATGGGAATTGAAGAGTCATACTAGACATACTACCACTATCTGAAATAGGTGAGTCTGAAAGAACTCATTAGTGTTCATCTTAGGCTATTAACTGTTTTTGCATATTCACAAAACCTGTATGCATTGCGTTTTTGAACACAGTGATAATCTGATCTTGCTCAATTCTGTTTATGTAATCAAATCTTACCAAGTG